GGCAGGCCTCACTGTCCCTCTTAGGCATCAGGTACAGGACATGGGCTGTGGCAGGATCCAGGACTGTCTGATTAGAAGAGAACAGACCCTGGACCACCCAAACAACTGCGTTTGGATCCAAATACAAGAGTCAACTAAAAACACCCCATCATTTCCACTCAGCTGCAAAGGATGAGGATGGGGGATCAGAGGGCAATAAAGAAGAGAGGGGGGAAGCTACTGAGAATAGCCCGGCCCCAAGGAACATACCAAACAGATCCATGGCACGGCGAGGAGTCTGTCGGGTGCTCCTCCGACACTCTGGTGGGCACAGTGGAAACAGGGGACCAGCACTTCACCCGGTGTAAATGAGCATCACACCCCTCAAGTCAAATTCATGACCTGCTCTAGGACTGTGTCATTAGCTGAATTCAGAAAGATAAATCCCCAATCCACTAGGGCTGTGTCTAGACTGCAGGGTCTACACTTCCCCTGTGTCTAGACTACAGCCGCGTTCTTTCAAAAGTAAATCGAAAGAACGCAACTTTTCTTTCGACAGTGGTACTCCTCATTTCACGAGGAATAACACCTTTTTTCAAAAGTGCTCTTTCGAAAAAAGGCGCTATGTAATGCAAACTGTGCTTTTTCGAAAGAGCATCCAGACTGCCTAGGGGATCTCTTTCGAAAAAGCAGCTTGCTTTTTCGAAAGTACTGATTGTTGTCTAGATGCTCTTTTCCAAAAGAAACTTTTTCGACAGTATCTTTCGAAGAAGCCTCTTTCGAAAGAGGCTTGCAGTCTAGATGTAGCCTTGGACAATAGATATACTAATAGATGGACTGCCAAGTTGCTTTACACAGACAGACAGACAGACAGATAGAGGGGGTGTATTGAGATAGCTAGATAGATAGATGGGGGTGGGGCTAGATAGATAAGATGGGGTGTATGGGGAGAGAGAGATAGATAGAGGGGGTGTTTTGGGATGGATAGATAGAGGGGGTGTATGGGGATAGATCGATAGATAGATAGATAGATAGATAGCCACGCACTCTCTCACACACACACACACACACACACACACACACACACACACACACACACACACACTCACTCACTCACTCACTCACTGAGGTTCTCTATGCACACATGGAAAATTCTAACGCAGAACCCACTGACAGGAGTTGCTCTCTGAGTGGACGGGGGCAGAGCGTCGATGGGCCTCAGTTCAGGAGAGACTGACTGAGGGCGTAAGGCCTGGATGTGTAACCTACCTTGCTGCAGGCGAGCAATTCTATCTGCTTGCTGCCGGCGCTGGACGGCAGGAGGAATCGGACGGGTTTTTATTTCCTTCGCAGGCTTCTGGGATCAAGTCCCTGCAGGAAACTTCTCGGCATGTTCCTCAGAGGAAGACCAGCGAAACTGCATCAAAACAACAGTCACCAGGGCCCATCGTGTCACAGGAAGGTTTGACCCACACCACCACCACCGTGTGTTCAACATCTGGACCTTGCGGTGGGACCACTGGGAAGGGTCAGGAGCAGGGCTCTGTGTTTGTCTAGCAGGGGTGATCTGCCCAAGGAAACCCAAGATGAGGGGTCAGTAGCAGCGGCAGGCAGAGAACTCTGGGTTTGTGACACTGGGGTTTGCTAATCCTGGGAAAAGGCCTGTCACTTTGTCGCTAGAAAAATCAGATACATGATGACTAGTCGAGAACAACGCATGGAGTTAGGGACACTCCCAGGGCTCAGAGCTCCCTGAGACTCCAACTTCGGGCCCCACTCTTGTCTCAGAGCCACAATGAGACCCCAAGAACTCTGACTCCCAGCTCCACCGGCTCTAACCACTACACCCAACTGTGCTGCCAGAGCCCCTACCCCCAGGACCCAACCTCCTGCCCTGACTCCTACATGACCCACTCCCTGTCATGAGCCCCCCCCACACCCAACCCCCTGCCCTGAGCACCCCCACACCTCTCAGCTCCCTGCCCTGACTCCTGCACCTGTGAGTGGTGTTGGGGAGGCAGTGGGTTGATTTCCCTGGCCCAGCTATGGGGCAGGAGAATTCCATTGGGATCAGTGCGGGGGGCAGGTGGCAGCAGGGGTTCCCCTGTCTGGTGTGTGGCCGAGGGCCGGGGAGGAGAGGTTGAGGAATGGGGGTACTTTCCTGGTCCGGTGGGCAGCAGGGTGAAGAGCCCCATCTGCAGGTGGCCACCGTTTTCATGCGTCACCTGCCCCCAGGGGGCGCTCTACAGGGTCGCTGCTCCCTGCCTCCTCTGCCCCTCAGTGGTGCATCTGTACTATGGCGCTTCCTCTCCCGGCCCCACCCTGGCCATGTTCTGGAAACCCATCCCATTCCAGGCACTTCCCATTGTCCTGCTGCAGCCAAACCCCAGCCTTGGTTTAAGTTAGGGTAAGAGGAAGATGCCTTCCACATGTGGTGGCTCCAGCTCTTACTGTTTAAGAGGATTTCTTGTACCAATGGACTCACAGACTCACAGACACACTCTAAGAGTGAGAGAGAT